GATCGGGTTATATTTTTTGCATACTGTAGAGCAATTTTATAAAGTAAACTTGAACTTCGATTATGTCAAATAGAATTTCCGTGCTGGAGCTGCCAAGAATATACAAACGAAAGTATGTTTCGATGTCCATCAAACAAAAAGTGATTGCTGCAAAAAATGGATAAAGACATGAAGAAGGTGACAGAGAGTTAGGGAAAACGAAAAATTTCGATTGCAAGTTAGTGTATTCCGGCACAGCAATTACGGGACTTGAACAGCGAAACTTGTAACGAACAGAAATATGTGTTTATAGAATAAAGAGAAGTTTATCATAAAACGAAGCAACTTAAACAATTTACATTGAAAGAAATTTTAATAAAGTAAACAACAAATATTAAGCCTTTTTTTTTTTTTTTTTTTTTTTTTTTTTTGTAATTTGATACCCTTTACATCATAATGTTCTTTATTTCATAAATTACGTTTCATATTTTTAATTTTAGAATTTCTGATGCCATCTACGAGATTTAAATGATGACCTATAATCCGGAAAAAATCGATAACCGGAATCGCGGAAGTCCGACGAGTCCGGATTAACGACTTTTTGACTGTAGTACGCTATCAGCAGATTTTTAACACTATGTAAAATAAATTTTACACCTATAGAGCATAATTTAACAGTCCCACTGAACTTTAATTTTTAATCAGTTCTATAGCGTTTTTTTTAATTATCCTTGTATAGAAGAAAGTTGAAATATAGCTATAGTTAAGATTTATACCAAACCAAATTAAAAATTATAAGGAAATTAACATGAAAAAAAACGAGATGAAGATAGATAATTTAATGTCCATGAAATAATCAAATAGTTGAAATAATTTTGTGACCACAATATAAAGATACAAACAAAACAATTACTGTAAGCACTTTCTAAAGACACATAATTTTGTAGTGTAATTTAAAATTCAAGCAAATTTTTTGTTAATGCATTATAATATAAAAATTACATTTTCTTCAATGGAAGTTTATACATTTTCATCGGCGCAACGCCCAGTAGTCACATTTTGGAACGATTGCAGTATGAAATTTTCCCTCAATAACGAAAAGCATCTTGAAGTCTGGTCACTTATCTCTACATTTCCCTTCCTTTTGTGCCATAAACGCACCCCTCTGAGAATCCATTAAACTACATACAAGGATCTTTGTTGCAAAAAGGAGGTGATTTCTTAAAGGGGGAAAGCATTCGGTTCAAGATTCCCCACTCTTTCAAGGCTTTTACTGCTACCAAGGCCCCAGCCTCAAAAGGTTAAATCTCAACTATGGCAGTTTCTTACAGTTGTTTTTTATAGAGTTCACTGATGAAAACACTTGCTTACAAGTGTATGAGGGCACAAACATTGCAAGCAATGCTACTGAAAATTTTTTCATCACCAAAAACTTTTCTGGGGGTTGTTCTATTGTTCAAGGATTAAGTCTATGACTTCTGTATGCAATATTTAGAATTTGCACACTCCATTTCTTCTAATGCTTCACCAAGTTTGACAGATTTATTCACCAATGTAGAGTTTTCTTGAAATTCTGTCAATTCCACTTCCAAACTGTCAATAGCCAATTGGGGGGGGGAAATCATTTTAAGAAAATTTATTTTAGCAAAGTAGGTCTTGAAATAAACAGCACAGTTTTCTCCAAATTCCCAAACTGAGTAAATCTTGCTGATACCAGTTCCTTTGAATTTTCTAAAAGGACCAGATAGCTCTTAAATATAATTTTTCTGCCTTCGGAAGCTAATTTGTCAGCAAAATTTGATGTTAATTCTAAGTTTCTTTTAAGTGAAGGGAAATATTTAAACTTCTTTCTCTATATATCTTCAAATATGTCAAGTTTGCGTTCTAAGGATCTTATGATCTCAAGCAATCTATTTGCAGTTAATCTTCTTCCTTGCAATTCCTTATTAATGTCATTATATACTACTATAAAGTTGTTGAAAAACAACCAAACACAGCCAAATAGGATCCACGAATTCTGGAAATTATTGCTTCTTTTCACTGTGAAGAACTTTCCCATGATTCAACCAGCAAAAGTTATTGCACATAAGAAGTCCCCACATTGAGATTCTACTTCCTGTAACAACTTTGAGAACTATTCAGAGCACATGCCAATATGAAGTTCACAGTTTTAGTTATAATAGACAGAACATTTTGAAATGACTTCATACTAGCTTTTGCACATAGTGCTTGTTGGTGCAAAATTCAATGAAATTGCGCAGTGGGTATTAAACTTCTTCAGACAGAAATTTTACAAACCCATTATGTGTTTCTACCATAATCAGTGGCTACAGACACAATTTTCTTTAAGTCAAATAACATTTTTACCACAAGTTTTTGCTTTATTTCACTCATTATATCTTTACCTATGAATGTGGTTGGTAAATTCAGCAATGCAATTAATTCCTCTCTCATTACACTTCTGCAAGCAAACTGAACAAAAACAGCTAAACTTGCTCACAAAATCATATCCATCCTTTCATCATCTTTCAAGACATATCGAAAACATCTCGGTACTATCTAAATCAGATTTTATTTGCTTTGAAATATTTTCCACCACTTTTTTTTTTTTTTTTTTTTTTTTTTTTTTTGTTTTTTTTTTTTTTTTTTTTTTTTTTTTTATCCTATCATTTACAGTATTCTTGCTAGCAGGGAATTCTTTCATTTTATTGATTTATTGTTTCTTGGAAGAACCTTCAAGTAATTTATCGGATGTGATTAAGAAAGCCATCTTCAGAAAATTTTCCCATGCTGTGCTATGCAGTGAAAAGTTCGCTTCAGTGGTATTACTTTTTGGCTTAAAAGAAGACACAAAATAACTTGTTTATTTTGCGTGATGCTTCACTTTTTATGCAATGAACTTTCTTCTTTCTTCATTTTACACAGAGCAAAGCAACACAGAACTTTTTTTTTATTACTCCTTAATTTGTTGTCCATTATTCTTAAAAAAAATTGGCCACTATCCTTGTTAAATTCCTGTTTTCTTGAAAGCATATTTGACACATTCACTTTCAGAACCACATAAAACAAAGAAAGGGGGAAAATTAATCCGTAGAACACAAAATATAAGCTACACACAGGAATTAAAATTCTTTAACTCAAGTGAACTTGAAAACTGTCTGTAGCTTGGAAATATGGCACCAGATCTGCATTTCTAAGCTGTTATTTTTGTGCGATTCCTTGCACTGGCATCAGAGGGAGGAAGGGTAAATAAACACTACCCCCCTCTGAACATTCTGCATATGGAATGCCCTCTTTTGAGCAGAACTGCTCAACCAAATACATGAACAAGAGTAATTAATTTTTTTCCTCCATTGCATCACTTATTTGTGTATGCCTTTAAAAAGGGAAATGAAAGAAAAAAAGGTTTATTGTAGTAACCAATTCCACCACCTTAACAGGAAAGTTAATTACATCTTCGTACTTAATAGGATAGTCATGATTAAATATTTAGTGTAGTTATAAATAGAGGCTTAATCTCTGCTTCCCTTCCTTTAAAGAACCAGAAGTTTCACACTCTCAAATTCTTTCTCACATCGACACAAAGCACTGAATCTACATAAAAATGTTTGATTTTCAAAATTATTCTTTGTTCCCTTGGCACAAGTGTGACAACCACTGCTCTAATGTAAAGATTTTATGTGATGTTTATTTAAAAATTTTGTTTTAGTATGCGATAGAAGTCTTTCATCTTGGCACTTTTTCAGAAAATCAAATTGCCTGAATCAATAAAGTACTCATAGGTACTATACTTAATAAAGTGCTATAGTACTCATAGGTCCTCTCATTCACAAAAAAATCATTTCGTTACCTCTATAAACATCATTTTTGTTGCATACCACCTTCGTATTTAAATATAAGAAATCAAAACTACCTCATAATTTGCAATTAAGTTTGAGTTCTTTCTTTAGAACTCATTCCACTCATATACTTCCCCAAGAAAAAGTCGGTCTTCTATACAGGAACTTCCATGGAGGAGGGGGGAACACTAGTTACCCTTCCATCCTGGAAAATGTCATAATGGGAGCTAACTTTGCGCTCATTTCTGAATCCGCCTTTGAGGGCCGCTAGTCTTGGAGATGTTTTCTCCCCTTGAAATGTTGGTTTTAGCGAATGTAAGTGAATAAAGGTAATTTAATATGTACCCATCCCATACCACCAAAATCCCTGTTGTGAGCAATGGGTTTGCCATCCCTGTTCTAGATCATTGCCAAGCGATAGCATCCCAATCAAGCTGAAGTGAACACAGAGAGATATCTGCTCAGTAACATGCAACATTTCAAGACTATGGAAGGAATTGAAGAAGAAAAAAGAAAAATCTGCACATGGCATGTAAAAATTTGGACCTCCCCAAAACCAAATGCAGATTCACTACAAGTTCACAGATAAATGAGTCTTTCCAAATGTAAAGAGAAACTGGGAATATTCATACTAAATACAGATGAGAAGCTATAAGATTGTATATATACAGAGCATATGTAAATAATTTTTCTGCATTGATGCTGTTTTTTATATTCTCAGAAATGTTAGACTGATATCAAGAATGGATTAAAATTATCCCATAGTAACTTATGAGAATCAGAATTACACATTATGAACATTGTCCTGGAATGCAATGTGTTTGTTACAAGGGACACCACTATAAATCAATTTAATATCTCATCACTTACAACTATTGAAGTAAATTCTAAAACTGGCATTTAAGAAAAAATAATACAAAATGCACTTCTTTAATAAAAGTGACTGATTTCTTTACTAACCTATTTTTAAGATGTGTGATATCACATTAGAGAACTTATTAATGATTTGTTAAAGGTATAACAAAAAATATAAGATACCAGGATAATACCAGAAAACTTTGTCAATTAACAATACCAATTATGAATTAGAAAGATTAAAAATAAAATCACTTACAAGTATGAAAACAAGTATGAAATTACATTAACTTTATCATTTCCTTCTAAAAATCATCATAACTTTACCTGCATATATCTGAAATTAAGGTATCAATTGAATATTCTTTTGAAAAGTAAACAACTGCTTCAGCTAATACACTTGGTAAATGTTCAAAATCTTGAACTAACTGAAGAATCTTAATACTGTAACCTATAAGAAAATGTTTATATAATTAAGCAAGTGAGCAAATTATCATCAAAATAAATTAATGATGCAAATTAAATATATTTAATGTACTTATATAAATATTAAAAATTTAATACCTAAACCAGTCTTGTATTCAGTAAGTATAATACCCAAAAAACGAAATACTTCATTTCTCATTCCCTTGTCCTTTGTGATTTCAATATTTTCCAATAGTCTGAATACAGTATTTGTGATAAAACTGGAAAGGAGAAAATATAAATTTAATTCTCATTCACAACACAGTAAATTTTAACACAACATAATTATCCCTTTAGTTAGCAAAACCATACACACATACATATATATATACAGTGTGTATGTGTGTGTGTGTGTATATATATATATATATATACACATACACACTGTTTCAAAAAAATATATGCCCCCAGAATGAACTGAGCCACAACTGTGAAATTTGGCAATAGTATAGTACTTTGAATAGGTAAACAAATGATCAAACACTGGAGCAAAAAAAAGCATTTTATTTAATAGTAACGGTATGAAGAATGTGAAAATTAGTAGGTTGTAAAAGCCTCCCTTGGCACCTCTGCAAGCCGATACTCAGTTGGGTATGGAGTTTATTAAGCTGTCATTGTCCCTCTGTGGTAGATAGTGCCACAAGTGGAGCAACTGGTTAGTAAGTTGGGATGTATTTGTACATGGCTGAATTTGCCTGCCCAATATGTTTAATAGGTGACAGGTCTGGAGACCTGGCAGGCCATTACCATATCGAAGACATTGTTGGGTTGCATGCGGCCGAGCGTTGTCCTGCGGAAAATCAGAACATAAATGACCTGCTAGCATAGGTAATATGATCAGCTGCAAAATGTCATCAATGTACCTTCAAACAGACAGGGTACTTCACAGTGTGACTAATGATGAATGGCTCTCCCAGCTGATAGCTCCCCAAACTGTCATACCCTGTGTTCTGGCTGTGTGCTGTTTGATAACAAATAGTACTGTTGCATTTTTCTTTTCTTCTGACACCAGTTCTTTCTTATATTAGACGTTATTTTCTTCTTTCACGTTCGTATGGGGTTCGTAGATTTGGAGTGAATAACGACAACACTTGATGAATGCTGGAACAATCAGCAACACAGCCTTCACGCTGTCAGGCAATAGCGGTGGAGATAGCTTCACTGAAAAGCACCAGAGTACAGCTCCCGACTCTGCTTGGTCGTTCTCGGAACTCCTCGTACTCTGGAGACTCTCCACTCTACAATTCACGATGCACTCAATGAAACACAGAGCACGGCTCCCGACTCTTCGGTTCAGTCATTCCCGGAGCTCAACACGCTTGACGATTCACACTAACCGCGATAAACTACGAGATTCTTTCGGTGCACTCAACGACCCACTCGGTACTTGCTGCCCAGCTGTCAACTTGATCCGCAGGGATTGACTCGATAGATGAGACACTATCTCGCACTCTATGCGAGGCACACACTCTCGCCCTCTCGACGAGGTAAACTGACTGCAGACCAGCAGGGTTTATATAGCTTTCGGCTTGTGTTCAAAAACATTCTGGGCTAAACCGGTAAGAATTCGTTCCAGAAGTTCTTCATCCGTCCATGGTATATCGCCAATTCTGTCGCCAAATGTGGCAACCCTGCCTTCCCTTGCCATTTTATGGAAACTCTAAAACTGCTTTGCGGGGAAGCCATCTTACCTCGCCTGTACATTTCGCAACACTACATTGAACCATTTACCTCACCATCTCCGGACACCTATGCGGCGGTTATCAGCTGTGAATAATTCATCATTAAAAATTACATTTCTCCAATTAGACACTGTCCAGCTTTAGTAAGATTGGCACCATGCAGTACAATACAGCGTATGGTGGAGTGTCAAAGGGAAGTGTCTTAAAGGATATCAATATCTGAGCTCAGGGTCATGTAGTCTTCTTCGAATTATATCCCTGGGAGTTGGCAAATGGCATTGAACCAATAATAGCATAACTGTTGGTGCGGACGTAACAGCTCTTCTAATTGCATGACTGTTTTGTGTGCCTCACTGTGTCTTCATTGAGCCACTGGTTCTAACAATGGACAATGACCATATTGCTTCGACCAATATGCAGGCCAATCTGCCTGTTCGATCAACTGGTCTCTTTTAATCCTATGATGTGACCCCTTTGAAAGCCTGGCATCTGCTCGTACTGCTATGAGTACATGGTAAAGGCACCCCTCATTATAATGTTGTACGTAGCATGGTTGTAAATGCTTGTCACTCATCACACCTGCCCTTTTACATTCTACCAGCTGCGCACTTCAGACACGCATTGTATCACTGCACAATGCTAAATGGTGCTGCAAATTTAATCATTTACACAACTCACCAAACCACATTTACATGCCACGTTCTGTAGTTGTGGCTCAGTTTTTTCCCGGGTACATATATTTTTTTGCAACACAGTATACATATGAATGTATGTTAAAGAATATTTTTTAAAATGCTCTTTCAGGAACAAATCTCTGGCCAGTTGGATGATTAATCATCATGTATTTCAGAACAGAAATATTTATATGAAAACATAAAATTTCATTAGCTTAGATGGAAATGCTGCCTTAACAAAATCCTTAAGGTGTACATAACTGTTTTGTTGTGCCTTTCAGAATGCAGGCATATAACAGATAAATAATAAATTATCCACAATTTTTTGTTAACACTGGATTTCAAATGCTCATAATATAAAATGGTTTCTTAGTTTTCACAGTAAAGTCATGCTGTATAAGAACATATCTTTTCCCTAAATTTACTAGAAGTACAAGAAACAGTTTGGCACAATTAATGCATTTTACAGAAAATGCTTTTAAACTGCTTAAACACATTTGTTGCAATGATTTATGAGAAATGTCCATGCCTATTAGTTATCAAATGCAGATGCTTGTTCCAGACTTTGTATTTAAGATTCTGTTTATGTGAAATTCATATGTTTCAAATATAAAATGTTATTACCTAACCTGGAAACACAGTGTTTTTAAACATACTAGAAACATTTCTTCTTGATCTCAATGTAAAATAAGCAGCAAAAAATTGATATATGTATTACCAGCAAAAAATGCTTGAATATTTATTATAGAAAATTTCCATTCTTTCTTGTAGCAGGGCTGAGGAGGCATAAAATTCAACACTATATAGTCCTGCAATAAGTCACAAAATTTGTGAAGACTGTGTGTCCTCCCGACATGCCTGTCTGGGGTGTGTGTGTTGCCCTGGTGTCTAGTAGCTGTGATTCTCTCCAGCATGGTGCAATGAAGTGATATGGAATAAAGGTGTTGAAGACTAGAGTGGGAATAGGAATCTTGCACAATATCCTGGATAGCATTTAAATAAAATACTATATGGAATTGTTGCAGTCAAGTTAATCCCTGTTTTCTAGTATCAATTATCTTCCATCTTCATCATCATATGTTTTGTTCATCGGTTTTGTTAAGCTTGAGGACAGCAGGAATAAAAATTTGTGTTTCATTTACAGCATGTATACTCCTTTGGAACACAACAATATTTTCTAATATATATTACTCTGAACATCACCAAAAACTAAATCAACACTTATAAAAATCAGAAATAATACTCATTTGTGAAATACAAAAATCCAACCCAGTTCTATTACAAGAATAATAATAGTTGTAATTCCAGTTCACAATCATATTCTCTAACATATTATAGTTATTTTAATCACAATAAAATATTTTTCACATAGCAATAATAGCAAGTTTCTAAATAAATAAATCAAGCTACTGCTTACATTTAAATAAGATTTCCTTTACTATATTCTTCGGGAGGGGAGGAAGAACAAGGTTGGCATTTTCTGTATGGATCATATCAATTGAAATAACACATTTAAGATTCCCTGATTTATTCTGTCATACCTTCTTATTAAAATTGCCTATAATATTTATAGCAAAAGACATTTTTCCTTTACAGTTAATTTTTTAACTCCTCATCCCTGCTACATACATTTCTTAATTTCACATATATAAAAATATCAGTATCTCTAAGGTTTAGTGAAAATTCTTTTTTGCAAAAAAATTCACAGTACAGTTCATTCTCTCCAATACAGAAATAATGATTTTAATCTGTGACAGTCACATTTTTAAAGATATTAATAGTTATATGATCATATGCACCAATCAGAAAATATACATATATATAACATAATAAGGTACTATTCGGTTTCAAAGGCCGTAAAAAATCGCCAAATTATCGTTGATGCCGATGCTGCCAAAAGGAATTGCAGCAACCCTAATAATAGCGGCAAGAAAGAAAGTATAATAGTAAATAACTATCTAAGATTGATGTTTTAATTTAGATTAAAGGTTAATTTCATATAATACTTTTTTATTATTATAATTTATATGAAAAAGGCTAAACATGACTGAATGGAAGCATAAGAGTAAATAACTATTTCAGATCATTATTATAATTTATATAAAAATTGCTAAACATAACTGAATGGATGCCTGCATCGCTATTTTGCTACCGACTTATCGCTAAAGCATAATTTTATCTCATTGGTTGTTCAAACATAATTTTCTATAATGAATATATTCTTTTATTTGAAAATATTCTTGATAAAGTGCAGAATCGCTCACTTATTTGTTTGCCGCTTTTTACAAGGGAAAAAACAATTGGATTTTGTCAATTTCTTTACTTTTTAAGTGAAAATAGGTTGATGTGTACATAGATAAAGTCAAGGGTGTACGCAGTGCCATTTTTGTGCAATTCTAGGATTTTTTTTTAAAGTGAAAATAGATTGATGTGCACATGGACACAGAGTATGTGCAATTCTTAAAAACGCATCAAGCAGTGGGTGATTCTGCACTTTACTCCAAAATTCTATTGCCGACTTTTCGTCATGGGCAATTCACAAATTGTTAAATCCATAGGATATCAAAAAAGGATTTGAAATCAATAAAGGATTTAAAAATTAAAGTAGTATTTCAATGGTGTATTAAGAAATATAGAATTGTATAAACTTACGCAATCTGAAATCACCGCGTACGCTAGATTTGGCACGCTGTTAAATGGGTGCGCTTGCTAGATTTGGCACTTTTGTGCATACATTTTCGCTACAATTTTCTTACGGCCCTCAAAACAGAATAGCACCCATAATAAAAGTACATAGATAAAGTCAATTTATTAATCAACTAATTTCCCAAGTCATTCATAAGCATTCATTAAATTAAAATTCCATAATTAATAAAAAACCTTTCATCAGTGTTACCATTAAAAATAAATTTATAATTATGTATTTTCAAAACAAAATAATTACTTGACTATTTCATATTCAATAACTGGAGGATCCCAAAATTTTCTAATGGGCATCTGAAACAATTTTTTGATTACAACAAGAAATTTCAAGCATTCCTCAGGCCAGTCAGGATATTCTACAGCTAGTGAAGTTTTCTTTTTCCTACCCTACAATGAAATAATAGCAATAGTAAAAACACACTTTTTTTGGAAGTTCATTCAAAACTAAGACATAAAGGTACAAAACATAAATACCATACAAAATCAAAACAATACTAATGAAAATTACTATTTGAGGTATTGTGTACTTTAATTTACATTTCAAAAGCTAATCATTTTCAGTAATTTATTACTTTTTTATCACTGACAGCCAATTCTGTAATATATGAGGGCCACTTTAAGATCAATGCAAGCAGTGGAAGCAACACAATATGTTTCATACAACCAATATTTAAGAATCTCTCATGGAATAATATACATGGTGTTTTAGCCACTAAAGTGCCTGCCAGTCTGTTTGGAAGAAATGGCTTGTTCCATAGCTAGCCAGCCTTCTCTCTCTCTCTCTCTCTCTTTTTTTTTTTTTTTTTTTTTTTTTTTTGTCTCCCATTAACGATAACTTTTTCATCTTACTGTGTTCTTAAAAACATGTTCTTAAGTTTAACAGAAAATTAAAGCTGTATGATTCTACAGACCACTTTTTATGGAATGTGTTCTTACTCCTATTAATTTAATACAAGGAAACCATATTAAACATACTGGTCTACCCACCCACAGGTTAAGAAAAAGGTACGCTTTTGTATAAGCATTTTGTTTAGTCTTAATAATGTTGCTGACAGTGCACTTTCATTTGGAATGTATTGGAATAGCTGAGTTACGTAATGAATATAATGTATGAGATGAGTGAGAAATTTAACACATTTTGATTGCATTCAACATATCTCTATCGTTGTTGAAGTACTTGTTAAACCGAGGATTCGAAATACTTCCAAAAGGTTTGATAAAGAAAAAAAAAAAAAAAAAAAAATCCTATGTGGCCACCACGTGACTTCCTCATAGAGCCTATTAAATTATACAGATTTTTTTGCTGCACTTCATTTACTTATTCTCTTGAATTTCATTATAGATATACTTATTTTCATTCAGTCAATTCATTTCTCACTCCATGGCAAAGCAAAAATAATAAAAACTCAAAGCACCTTCATTAAAAACTTTAAAATAGAGAAAAACTGAATACAGTGAAAACAGAAAAACAATTTTTTACAATTAAAAATTAACAGTTTCTATGCAAAAATGAGCAATTCAAACAATGGGGGGGAACAAAATGTTTGATGAACAAAAATTTAAAGTTCACTTTTGGTCCCATTGGGCAAAAAGATAATGAAGTTGCTTAACAACTCACAATTGGTTAACAATTCACTATACTTAACATTACAAAAAGTTTTCAAATGCAAACAAATAGCCACCACACCAGGCTTCACTGCACTTACAGTTTTAAATTGTTGATAATTCTAAAACTACTGCATGCAGATTAACTAAAGACCTTAACCAGAATATAAAAACAAAATAATTCAATCACTATTAAAGCAAAAAAATGCACAATTTAACAACATATTTAAAAAAAAAAAAAAAGAAAAAAAAAAAAGAGAGAGATAGTGCTGACCAAGCCAGATAAGGGGCAGTGTGTGAGTGTATATATATATATATGTGTGTGTGTGTGTGTGCATGTGTGCGTTTGGTATGGTCAATTAAAATAAGAAAGGGAGGTGCACAACTAGATGTTATAACGGTCCTATATACAAAATTTCAACATTTTACGGCTAATAGTTTTTGAGTTATTAGAGATGCATACATATGCATGTACACACAGATGTAAAAAAAGAAATGTCATCTGAATCCTTTAAAATTAATTTTACAATAAATTTTGGAAAAAAGAGTCCTTTACATAGAGAAGTCAATTAAAAAAACTTGTCCAAATTGATTCCAGAGTGGTCCAAAAAAACGGAATTTTTCGTGATTACAATACTTCCTTTACTGTGTACAAGGAAGTTTTTCTTTTAAATCTTTGGCATCTCTGCCATTAGTCAACAAGCAGACTAATAAAATGATGAGAATATAAAAAAGCAAGGATAAAAAGATATTTGATAGAGTTGGACTTTCTTATAGAATTGTCTGTAATAAATTTTAAAATTATAGGGTATACAAGGAAGTAAAAAGGGAAGGTTTTTGAAAAGTTAACAAAATTTGAGAAAATACATTACGGTAACATTAGATAATGCTAAAGCAGAACAAATTTTAGAAGAATATAAAATTTTTAATGAAGATTTCAAAATCTATGTTTAACAAAAATTTATACAGATTATGATAATGATAAAATAGACAATTTTATTGAGAAAGAACAGTTGATTTTAGAAAAAAATGAGGATGTTCAGTTAAACATTATTCCTCAGTTAAAGAAAGAAAAAGTTGTAAATATAAATGGCAACATATTTCTATACAGAGAATAGATATTTGCCTACATTAAAAGAATTCTTAACATTTTGCAAATACAAATGGAACATTGGCAAATACAAATGGCATTCACGATATTAAAGTTGGTAGATAGTGTAAATGAAATAACTCGCTTGTTGGAAATATAAGATCTAAAGATAGATAGATTATTTTAGTGAAACTTTGTTGACGTATATTATTTTACAAACACTTTGCTTATTTTATAAAGATCATTTTTTATGCATGTGTTATAATTTTTTAAATTAACCAGTGCAAAGATGAATAGAGTTTGTTAAGACTAATTTAGAGATTTTGTTTTAATTGCTTGTCTAATGCCCACAGATTTAAAATGTGTACGAATGCAAATACTTATAAAGGCTGTTTTACATAACATCATAGCATTTTGCACCTAGAAAATAATTTAAAACCAAAAAATGCACCTAATTTCCTTTCACCAGAAGTGCAAGTCTCTGCTTCAAAACTGAAAGTAAAAACAGAACAAAACCTGAGTGAGGTCTCTTCAACTGTTTGTGTGAACAACTGTGAAAATAATCATTCTGGTGCTCATGTTATGGTAAACATAGTCATGTACTTTTGTACTGCTTTGAGTTCAAAACTCAAAAAATAAATTCATAAATTGTAGATGTTTGCTAGACTCAGTGAAAAAACATTCATTTGTTGGGAAACGACTATTTATTTAGGAATGAGCATGAAGAATTCCAAGATACAGTAGAATTCCAGAAATCCGCAAAGCTTGGGACCAGAGGTTGCGCAGATTTTAGGATTTTGCGGATTTCAGGACAGAAAAGATAAAGCATAATATTCGGACTAAAAGTGCAAAATGAATAAGGCTTATTAGATACATTTAATTAAATTATTATATACAGTATTGCAATAATTTATTATATGCATTAAATTATTATTACGTATATAAATTGATTATATTATTCATTGTATTATATGTACACAGCATCGAGGTTTGCCGATTTCGCCTCATGCAAAGATTTCCGGTTTCGGATTCCGGCGTTAGAATCACTGTTGCTGTAAAATTTCAACAGCTTTTCTTTATTTTTCCGTATATCATACACAATCGTGTCGCAATTCCATACCATTCTGCTATAAATCGAGAAATAGCACCTGCTTCCTGCAGAATTTGCACTTTTTGCGTTACCGTCAATGCAACGTGTTTACGTTTTTAAACGCTGTAAGCAGAAAAACACGAGTGCGTTTCTTATCTGTCATTGTATTAAAAAGGGCTGAAATTTAAAATATTCTTAATTTATCCACAAAATATCCTAATAAAAAAAAGACAGCACTAAACAATCTCGTGAAATGAAATAACAAAGCTCAGAAAATACAACAACGTGAATCGTGAATTTGAACAGAGTTGAGTGAATCGTCTGCTTTTTTACCTCGATGCAGATTAGAAGGAAAAAAACTTATTTTTTAAAACTTTTTTAAATCAATAATTTGGTATTTCCGTTTTGACTCATTATTATTCGGTAAATATGACGTCATTATTTGGTAAGTATTTTTTTCTTCAATATTTCGTACTCAATGTTGCGGTTTCTGGAACCTATAAACTGAATGTTTATATTCTGAGAGGCAACGTGGATTTCAGGAGTTGGCAGATTTTCGATATTTGACTGTATTAGTTTCATACTTAGTAACTTTCAATACAACAACTACTAGAGTCAACTTGTTGCTTACACCTCATTTCGATACTAGTAACAGAGTTTCTACGTCATAATAAACAAAATTACAAGAAGCATTCCAAGTGTAACTTTGGATTTATATGAAAGTTTCCAAGATTTGGAACAGATCCCACATTTCATGAATTGAGAGAAACTGATATTTTATATATTTGGACTGATTTTTTTTATACCTTTTGCATTTTGCTAACATGTTTTTTACTTGAATTAAAAATCATCAATGGAGAAATAATTAAAATGAACAAAAATCTTCCATTTGCATTTTGTTCTAGGCTGGGATGAGTCATAGCTGGAAATACAAATTTTGAATTCCCAAACTGTGAGCAAGTTTCAGTCAATACACTAAATGTAAATACTCATAAGTTAGTCAAATCCCTTTCAGATATGGAATAAATTCCCACATTGAAACTTTTAACTAAAAAAATCTGATGTGTACACCACATGACTTCCTTGCACGGAATATTAAATTATACGCATCTTTTCTTGCATTTCATTTAAACTTATTGGATTGAATTAAATTTACTTCACCGACAGCGCATAAACCACAATAGAATAAATACATTCTTTAAAATTCTCTCTAGTAGTTTACCATAGCGACACTTTGGCGCTAGATTCACTTAACAGTATTATATTTTGTTCATATTATAACTCATAATGCACAAAATTTAACATATTACACATTTAAGATTTAAAGATTTATTACACATCATTATTAAGAATAGAAATCTGGTCGTTGCCACATGTTCTATTCAAATACTACAATAAAGCTAGAATGATGTATAAAAGAAATCAACAAATAAAACAAAAAAGAAACAGTTTTCCCACAGACGATTGAGTATTTCTCATTCAATTAATTCAGTTCTCACTTCACGAGAAGGCAAAAATACATAAAAACTCAAAATATCTATATTAAAAATTACGAAGTGAATCTTAAACACTTATTTCCTCGAAAAAATTCCAGAAAGGATT